GCCATGTTCTTTTTCATGTAGGTCAGCTTTTCGGGTTATTTGCTCAACTTAGTGAAAGGATACAACCCTGATGCATACCTTTCCTGATTTTAAACCACACAGCATCCCCTTGTTCTGTTTGAATAACCATTTCTTGGTCTATGTACACATAAACACAATTAAGTATTCTGGAATTTCTATTCTTTGAAATGTTATCTATAGTTTTCATGATCCACGCAGTTGAAAGCTTTGGATAATTAATAAAACTCAAATAACCTTCTTTCTGGTATTCTCTACTTTCAGATAAGATTCAACCGACAACAGCAATGATATCTGTCATTCTACATCCTTTTCTGAATCTGACTTCAATTTCTGGAATTTTCCTGTTGATGCACTACTTCAACTATTTTCTAATAATCTTCAGCAAAATTTTGCTTTCTTGTGATATTGACTATATTTAACAATGGGAATTTTAAAAAAACATTTTTTTTTTCTATTTTGTATGTCCCACACTGAAAAGTCAGATTCATGAGGAAGGGAGTTTGTTTTCACAATGTTTCTCAAATTAGAAGAGGAGGTAGCAATAGCTTAATAAGTATTTGCTGAATAAATAAATTCATTAATAAGTGAATGCTTTCATGATATTTAATTCATTTTAATATTGAAACACTTTATGATTTTGCTTCAGTCTGCTTTAATTTGAAACTATATTTCCTACCTCGATGTAAATAGCTCAACTTTAATCAGGTCTTTTACTTACCCTACGAGGAGCTCTGGTTACCAGTCGGGCTGCTAATCTCAGGATCAGCAGTTTGAAACTACCAGAGGTTCTGTTGGAGAAAGATGAGGCTTTCAGCTCCCATACTGATTATAGCCGTGGAAACCGTGTACAGGGTCGCTATGAGTTGGAACCAATTCCACAGCACATAACCACCAATCACCACAAGTAGAGTGTTTGATGACCATAGAATTAGAATGTTTGAAACAGCCTTGTTTCTGAACTGGTTTGGCATAGCACTCCTCGCTACCAGAAAATAAGATCACCCACTTTTGATCAACATAAAATTTATTTTTCTCTAGTTGAATACATATTCTGCTAACAGGCAGTGCTGTCAAATAGAACTTGATCTGGGCTGTTTGTGGAAGATGATATGGAGTAGGAAAAATTTGCTACAAGAAATATATTTTAATATAAATCAAAACAT